AGCTTTAATTTAAAACTATTTGCATACTTATTGCATAATTCAGCTATTAAATATAGAATAGTAACAACTTTTTTTTTATCTTTATTTTGGTTATAAGCTAAATTATTATATGATATTAATATATTACACATTTTAGCAAAAAAATCTCTTAAATCAGAATCTGTATATTTGAGCATTTTTTTGAATTTATATAGATAAAAAACAAAATAATCATGTCTTTTTTTATACAAGACTTGCCATTTTTTTAATACAGTCTCCAAGTAATAATTTGATTAATTTATTTGGAATGCTTGTTTTTTTATATTCAATATTATTATTCTCAATAATAAACATATAATGAGAATAATATACATGTTGACTAACTTGTAAGTATGGATATTGTTAAATAGTTTTTTTAATAGTTGCTTTTTTTATTAATAATTACATTAAATATCAAAATTTATCCTAAATTTTATCACAATTATAAATTGAATAAGGCTCTTTATTAATTTTTTACTTTAAAATTTTTTTGAAAACTTAATTCTAGACCTGCAGGTTAATAATGAGTAGTTATGCTTTCAGGTTACCAATTACAAAGTTGCTAGTTCAAGTTAAACAAAGGAAAAAAACTAAGTTAGAACTATAATTATTAATTAATCATATTTAATAATGCATTATAAAAATAGAAAAATCTTTAGTATTCAAATCTTTAAATGGTAACAGACCTGATATAAAAAGGCCACAATAATTAAAGAGCTAAGAATAATAATAAAACAAAGGAATTTTTGATTAGGAATAATTCTGGTAAAATTCCAGAATAATAAAAACATAAAATTAAATATATAGATAGTACTGTAAAAATGTACATAAATAAATATAAATTTAAAATATAGGAGGGTCCTAATAGAAAGTCCTATAAACTTAAAAAATTTGAACTAATAAAACAGCTACCAGCTGTGGCCTACTAGTGACCATGTAATGGAAAATTTAAAAAAAAAAACTTAATTTAAAACTTAATTAAATTTAATTTATTTTTTATTTTTTTTTGGTATTAAGGTGAGGCCTTGCTTATATCTTTATTAATAATTTAAAATAGTTATATATATATATATGCTATAGCCAAGACCAACACTTGCAGTTAGGGCTAACCATTAAACTGCTAACTATATAGCTACTACTATTTGTACAAAACAAATAAATTGAAAATTATATGCAAGAATAAAAGCTCAGACTAGTTTATCTGCAACCTAAACCTACTAAAGTGATCAAAGCTCACCTAGATTTGGATGTTTAATATATAATTTGATGATATGCTATATTTGATTCATAAGATGGACCAAATATTAATTTTGCAAATTGCTTGGCCAATAGAAGAGCATGTATTTGAGTAAGAATGTAATTGATCAGGAAGTCCACAAAGGCATAAGTAAGTGTAATCTCTTCAAGGATGTGTAAGTTTTCTTATTGAATTGGATGATCTTAAAGGTTAGTTAATTAGTTGAGATCAGAGTTTGTTTTGTTAATTTTTCCAATTAGAAAAATAAATATAGTATGTTTTCTATAGTTGCTTATATGATTGTTCATTAATATTAAGAATTAAATTTAATTTATTAATGTATTTAATATGCAAGTATGTAACTATTTGCAATATTAATATAATGTTGTAATACAAATTGGTGTTTATTATAAAAAATATAATAAAAAATACATATAATTTTTGGCTTTATTAGCAAAAATACTATTTGTTTATTTAGTTCTATTTAATAATTATTTTTATAATTAAGTTAGAAAAACTATATTGCAAGCCTTTATATAATATGTAAATATGCCAGCATTTTATAAAATTAATTATATTAGTATATATCTGCATGCTAATTCTAAACTAAATAAATTTTTGAAAATTTTTTTTTCAATATGATATCTATATATTAAAATAGTTAGCCAATTAAAGTTATAAAAAAACAAATAATTATTAATCAATTAGATAGATATTCAACTATACTTAACTATAGTCATACTGGAATAACTGGCAGGTTATGAAACATTTGTATAACTTTGAATATACAAAGAAATACAAATCAGTACTAGGCAGTACAAATCTAAAATAAGTTTTTATAGCCATATAAATCTGTAAAACCAAGAAAAACTAAAGCCTATTTGGAAAGACTCAAGTGGAAAGTAACATAAATTTTTAATAATACTACTGTAAAGACTAAATCTAAAAAACAGATACCAATATGAAGGAGCCAAACAGACAAAACCTTCAAGATAAGAGGTATTACCAACCAGGCTACTAAAATTGAATTAGAAAAAAAGGATATTGGGCCAGCTCAATATATCAAAAACAGATTACAATTCTATTTCTTAAATTATAATACAAACAAATTTGTTTGCATTAATTTTTTTAAAATTAATTTTTATAATAAAATTTTAATAATTAATTTTAGCAATATACTTTCTAAGTAAAAATATTTTTAAAAAGTTACTTTATAAATATTATTAAGAAATATTTTTAATATTATTAAAAAACTTTAAATTAATTGAAATTTAAAGATTGTATAACATTCGAGTTTACTATTAAAATATTTTTCAGATTTCTAAAATTTTATATATTTTTGAAACTAAAAAAAAATTTGCTTTTAAGACAAGTATTAATTTTTAATAATTAAAATTGTAATCTTTAATATAAATTAAAAAGTTGTATTAAAAACTATAGATTTAAAATTAAAATTTAAAAAGTTTATTGTAGATAAACTAAAAAAATTTTTTATTCAAATTTTTTTTTAAAATTGTATATGTTTGGTTTATAAGCAACCTAATTTTTTTTTTATAATTTAAAAATAAATATTGCAAAAAAGTAATCCTTATTTTAAATATTATTATACCAAATTTTATTTATATATTTCAACATTTTAAAAAAAATAAATCAGAGCTAAAAAAAATACAAAAATATAAGCAAATTTGTTTATATTAGTCTATAATTTAAGGAATAAATACTAGAAATATGCTGTGAAATAGGTGTTGAGGTTTAGGTAAACTCTACAAAGGCTAGTCTTGTTAAAGTTCTATAGAGTAAGTAGATAGTTAGCAAAAAAACACCTCAGTCAGATAACATGCTCTAGAATGTATAACAGCTTAACAGATATACAAAAAGAAAGGCTAAATATTGGATTAAATGATACTTAGTTGTATAGAAACCAGGTATTACTTGTCTGAGTGCAGTATAAAAATCAGAATATTTAAATAAATACTCTCCTAGTAGGTTACAAGTATGACAGCTAGTATAGAACCCTTAGATGAACTACTTAAATAGATGACCAAAAGTTATATATATGACTAATTGTACACTTATTTTGTACAAATTACATGTAATGCATTAACTAAAACATAAATAAAGATAGTAGCTACCAATAATATTATTTTTAACAAAACAAAAACATAAAATATTAAATAATATTAGTGTAAAAAAAAAAAATAGAATAACAATATTTAAAGTATTTTAATTAGCAAATGTATTTATTTTAATATTATTAACAGAATTGCTAATTTGTTCTAAAGATAAACTTAGCTAATTAATTCTTTATTTATTTTATCTGCAAACTTGTTAAAAATTTATTATAAATGGTTTATTCATATTATATATTAAAATTGATTAATTAAAATTTTTAATTTTTAATTTTCTTTTAGATTTTATTACTTTTAATTTTTTAATTATTATTATAATAATATTTCACATATATGTTAATAATTCAATTTACTAATTTATAAGAATAAGACTATTAATTAATTTATTTAAATATCTTGTCTCTATAGTTAATAATAATTATTATTATAAGCCATAAATGAATTTATTTAAATTAATTTATTTAAATTAATTTGTACAAAATTAGAAATAGAACTAAAGAATTTCAACAGCAGAGACTATTAATATTATATATATATATATTAAAATTGTTAAGGGATTATATTTATCACAATTAATTTGTGATTGATTATAGACAAGAAAAACAGGAACTGTCTCTGCTATAGTGAATTTCAAGTTTATAATTATACAAACTGGACTAAAAAAATAAGTTTTATTCAAAAATTTATATAAAACTATACAAAGATAATTTTTTATTTCTTATACAATAACTTTAAAATTCTAAAATAATTATAACTATCTAATTTTTTAAAATAATTTTATATAAATTTTTTTTTTTTTCAAAATATTTATTTTTTTCTATTTCTGATTGTATCAATATTCAGAAATCTTTTTAAATAAAGTTTCAAACATTTTTTTTAAAAAAAAACTTCAAACAATTATAACATTATAGAATGAAAAAAATAATACTGAGTTTAATGTCTGCTTTGTGCTCGCAGAGCATATAATTCTAATAAGGTAGCTGCATGATGCATTCACATTAGAAAATGGAAATGAAAACAAATATAGTAGTTAACAAATAGTTCAAGTAATATACAAATAAGAACTGATCTAGTAATTCATTAATATATTGCAAAGCATTTAATAGGTACTATAAAAGTTTACAAGGCATGATATAATAAATTATCTTTGATGATCAGTGATTATCATATAATCAACCCAATGAAAAATCCTATGAAAAAAAACAATAAATACCAAATATCAAGTAAATTCACAAATTGATTTGCACTTGGTTACTAATTTTTGCATCTAAAATTCCTTTTTTACTACTTATTGTTCAAAGTAAACTATCTGCTTCATGATTTCATTACTTCATTTCTGATATAGTAATTACAATACATATATTGAATAATAACACTTCAGTATTTGCAACTATATTCTTTATTAATAATAACTTCAGCAATACAACTTAGCTATCCTAGTATTACCTATAAAATAATGTAGCTAACATTACTGATTATCATGTAATAATGACATCTAACTTTTATCTTTATAATCATTATACCAATACTTTTAAAACTTTAACTTTCAATATGGAAAAAAAAAAATTGTTTGTAGTTTATATTATATAGAACAGTAACAAAAGTATGAAAATAGTATGAACAGAAAGAAAAAACTACTAGCAACTTGCCAGAAATACTGTAGCAAACAAAAAAGATCTTCAGAAAAAATTCAAATTAAAGAAACCAGTCTTAAAAATGAATCAGCTAATGATTATAAAGACATTAGTGAATTTGTACATGATTCTTTGATTTCTCTAGAAGGCTCAAATAACAATTATGAAAGTGATACTTTAGAGTTTTATATGAATTTTGATGTTCATTTAGAGAATAAGGAATCAACAAAATATAAAGAGCTAGGTTGTCAGATAGTATCATATATAGAAAAAGAAGATAGTTACCATTAGGTATATAAATCCAAAAATTTAAATAAAAATAAAACTCAATTAATTTATTGGTGTAATTGTTGAATAGAGCTTAGTAAACTCAAGACTAAAAATCCAGATATTAATAAACAAAGAGACAAACCTACACAGCTTCAATAATATGTTGTAAAGATACAATACAAATCAATGATAAAATAAATAACACTTTAATTAAAGTTGAATATTTACATTTAACTTTATATCCAAAACCAATACATAATTAAACTACAAAAAAGATACATAAGTTTATTTAGTACAATATAAATTATTCAGTTCTTGAGTTCTGGTGATTAATTCAAGAAAAAAAACTTGATTGCTATAATAATTTAAATATTTAACAAATGTACTACTGGTGGTTTGTCAAACCTTGAAAGGTTTACCAACATGATTTTGATCCTTTAAAATCTGCATACTTATTATTAAATAAGTTTAAGTAAGAAATAATTATTAATCTAACTACTCCAATTGGTGCTCTTAGTTTCATAACTACACTTTTTATTATTCTTCTGCATGACAAATTTGAAGCAATAGAAATTAACTTAACATATAATACTAATAGTATGGAATAGAAATTATACACTTTAATGAGTGTAGTTGATGGAACAGGATTTCTATTAAGTTATCTTTTAATTGAAGCAGGAAAAAATAAAGATATAGAACTCTTTCTGCAAATTCATTGCACAAAAATTAACTAAAAAATTGTTCATCTAAAAATACTTATATCTTTTTATTTTACTAAGACAACCTGTCTTGGCATCTTAAGTAAACTTGTTCAGCTCATCAATTTACATATACTCTGAAATTTTATAAATTTATCTCTTAAACTCATAGAGAAAACTGTACTGACAGCCTTTGGCCTCCAGTTTTAAAATTTTAATCCTCTTGCAGTTTCTAATGCAATAACTTATCTTATACCTTTAATTAAAGTTGTAGTACATATTTGCCTGATCAAAACAAGCTCTGAAAGAAGAATTTTGACCTAATATTGGCTAAGATACAACTAAATTTATCTTTTACTCTCTTGCAAAAGCTTTTTCCTACTTTTTGTCCTTACCCCATTCCCTTTTTTCTCTTACACAGTTTTCATGTAACCATATCATCATTTCCTAAATTATATTTTATTAATTTATACCAAAATTCTGTGCTCTGTCTATTTATAGAAATTTATTGAACACAATCAGTTACTTCCTTATTTGGTTTTTATTAATTGTACACAACAATTTGTATTGTAAACCTTATTTGTACTAGTACCCGAGTCATCTTTGTGACCCAATCACTCTAGTTACGTACCAGTATTATATTTGTAATATCTCAATCATACAATCCTTGTTCCTATCAATCACCCTTATAAAATTACTATCCAACTATTAAAAATTTTTCTAAGTTTTTAATACAATATTCACTTAATTTATAACAAACTTCAAAAATGCCTACATTAACCAACCAAG